GCGAACATGCACCATCGAAAACAACCTGTGAAGATTGGTTTAAACGCTTTAGAAGTGGCGATTTCGACACTGCGGACAAAGAGCGCTCCGGAAGACCGAAAACAATCGAGGACGCCGATCTGCAAGCGTTGTTGGATGAAGATGACACGCAAACTCAAAAACAACTTGCAGAGGTGTTAAACACGTCTCAACAAAGCATTTCCATACATTTACGGCCAGAATGGAACACAAGACATGAGCGAGTGATTTTGCAGCAGGACAATGCACCGTGCCATCGCACTTCCATCGTCAAGGACACCATCAAAACGCTGAAATGGGACCTGTTACCACACCCGCCGTATTATATACACCAGATCTGGCTCCTTCTGATTACCACTTGTTCCGATCAATGGCGCATGACTTGGCTGGACTACACTTGGCCAGTTTCGAAGAAGTGCGAAATTGGATAGATGAATGGTTTCGGACCAAAAACGAGTCGTTCTATCGTCGCGGTATTCATGCATTGCAAGAGAGATGGCGAAAATGTATAGCTAGCGAGGGACGATACTTTGAATAAGCCGCTTTTTGTTTTTTCTTGAAATTTTGTATTTTTCATTGATCAAAAAAACCCGGAAACTTATTTGTACACCTAGTAAACGTTAATATCTCCTTAACTATTGTTGACACCGCAAAATGGTACAGGACTTTTCGACTCAGTGTAGTCTGTTCTACACACGCACGAAATATTTTGCGGTCGTTACCAGACACCCTGTATAATAAGACGAAACATTTCGATAACATTTATATAATTACATGAATGATATGTATTAATATTTCTAATTTTATACAGATATGTATAATATAATATTATAAAAATAATCTGCAAATTTATAATAAAGCTGCGCTACAAACATAACTAAATTTATATTCTCTAATATATCTCGACATTTAATGTCCCTGCATTAATTTCAGGTTTTCAAAATCATTACTCCTTGTAGTACTCAGACAAAGAATGTTGTAACACATTTCAATATTATATTTTTATTCAATATTATATTGTGTAACATTTCAATATTATATTTTTTAAATATTTTATATTGATGACATTAATATCATTAATGTAACATGTGCTTTACACATACATATGTTTCAAACAACTTTATTAAATAATATTATTGCAATAATGTAGCTATGAAAAAATCTAAAAAATTTTCCTTATCTTTACATTTTAATAATAATAAAAATTATAACATTGTTAAATTTTCTGTCGCTGAATTGAGTACGACAATGAGATACGTAAGAAATAAACTGAATATATTTGACTGACAAATCGAGCTCGGTAATCAAGATACAAAAAATGCGTGCGTTCAGTGTTAAGCCGTAACGAAGAAGAAGGCGGAAGCCCCCATTTTCCGGAACCCCCGTCCCGCCACACTTATCGCTAGTAACATCGACGCCAGCGCCATACGAACGTACCAACCTGAACCGTATAGGGCAGCAATTACAAACAGCAAGATCGCAACGAATTTACTTTCCATAGAATACATAACACTGCCCGCCTTGAAACCTTATGGTTTTAATAAAAATAATACAGATGTCAATGCAGTTCGATTAAATTGGGCATTCATAAACATAAATGAAACATACGACGGATATTATCACTAAAGATTGAAAACTAGTATAACAAATGTATCGTCTAAATGTGTTTTATAAATTTGTCTTATAACGCTGTTAACAAATATATAGTGGTTAACATAGTACATTGTAATGAGTATTAACCTAAGCATCTAAAGGTAGAATTGCTAATCTAGTTAGTGGCCTAATAATTGTTTCGTTCCTAGTCTGAATTTCAACTGATCTGACCTCATCATCAGAACTCAAGTTAACACGGTCCAAAAGCCACTGCAACGGCATTAATCCTGGTTGCTGCACTACGACTAATTGACCTGTCTAAGGCTGGAATCAGATTACGTATTGAAATTGATGATTGAAAAATTCAAATTTGACCAATCGAAACGAAAGGAGCTAAAATTTCTTTGTCCTTATTGGTCAAATTTCAATCTTCAATCTTCAACCTCAATCTTCAATGCGTAGTCTGATTCCGGCCTTAAGGGATTGACCATTATCAGTCTTCCATTTTGTACGTCCTTGCAAATTGTTAAGATATTCAATTCGCCACCGTTGCTAAAAATGTTGTCTCAAACGCTCTATCAATTGCCATCGGCTTAGCCTATTTATTTTAATATTTTCTAAATCTGAGTAAGTATAACTATTTACAGGTTATCCAATAAGGAAATGTCCAGGCGTTAAGGCTTGTATATCGTTAGAATCATCAGACATTGGGCTTATAGGACGTGAATTTAAGATTATAGCTTCAATTTCGGCGATGACAGTAGACATTTCATCGTAATTGAGTGATGTATTACCAATTATCCTCTTCATATGATATTTTGCAGACTTAATGGCTGCTTCCCACAATCCGCCAAAATGCGGAGCGTTAGGTGGTATCATTTGCCATTGAATTTGCATTTTTGTGAACAAATTGTTTAATCCGCGCTGCGTTTGTTCTTCGCAAAATACCCTATGAAGATTGCTAATTTCTCGTGCTGCTCCGACAAAATTCGTAGCATTGTCAGAATGTAAACAAACTACCTTGCTCCTTCGGGCCATGAACTTTTTAAATACACCCAAAAGGGCGTTTGACGACAAATCAGCCACTAGCTCCATGTGGAGCCTTGGTAGCAAAACATACGAAAATACGAGTATATGCCTTAATTAATTTAGCATTTCTACGTTTATGTTCTCTTATAAGAAACGGGCCACCGAAATCCAAGCCTGTGTGCGCAAATGGGTGTGAAGGAATTACCCGCGAACTAGGGAGATCGCTCATAATAACTTGGCACTTGCCAGGCTTGAGTTTGAAGCAACGTTATGCATTTCTTTATAATGTTTCGAGCAGTCACCTTAACCGAAATTGGCATGTACGAGATCACTCGCAGTAACTTGTCAATGTTGAAAATCAGAAATTCTTTTTATGTTTTAATTAATATAATAATCAATAACTAATATTTTTCCGACATTCTAAACAGAGGAATTTTAATCAATCAATATCAATTTAACATATTGAAAAGAACACATCATCACATTAATTTCCTACCGTCAGATCATACAACATCAATACATCTCGTCCTTCGCTCCTGCATTCAACGCACACGCGCTCTTATTAAAGGCATCATTTTGTCAGCAACCACAAACTCTGATCCGTGTAGATATTAATATTATTATTCAATTACATAATGTTAATTAACAAAACATACAACGCATAAAATTGGTGAGCTCACCCGCACGCAGCTTATAGAGAGTAAAAAAAAAAGGAAGTCTCCAAAAACAAAAAACAAAATCTTCTGAGGAAGAGTAACGAATTTTAAGAACTCCAATGTTTCCGATTTTCTTCTTCCTCAAAATGTTAACTTTAAACTAGAAACTAAAACCAATACTAAACTCGAGCAGTATTACCAACCAACAGTCAAAACTAGAATATTTGCCAATTAACTCGTCTAGCACATCTGATTCCTGTCTTACAACATGTATTTTGACCTTTAATTGCTCCGGTAATATTTCCGAATATTGTGGTTGTTGATCAGGCCAGTCACTCTCACCCAACTTCAACCACTCGGGGCCGTTCCACCACGTGAATTTATTAATTTCTGAGGCTTCGCCCCACGAGAAATTATGTCCGCGGGATTATGTTTAGAAGAGACGTGATGCCAATTAGTTACTTTAGTTAATCTTTGAATTTCACCAATACGATTAGAAACGAATACTGAAAATCTGCGCGACCGTGCTCTAATCCACGACAACGTAATTGTGGAGTCGGTCCAGAAAAATATCTTATGAGGTTGTATATCAATTGACCTTAGCAATTTATTTTGAAGCTGAGCTAGTAAAAGAGCTGCACACAATTCTAGACGCGGTAACGAAATCTCCTTAGTTGGTGCAACTCGTGATTTAGATGTTAAGAGACGCGTTTGAAAATGCATTTGGGTATCGCATATTCGTATATAACAGCATGTACCATAAGCATGTTGACTGGCATCTGCAAAACCATGAAATTGAATTTCTAACGTTTCGAGGGTTATACCAATCATTCGTGGAATGCGTAACTCCGATAGATTTGACATTTGTTCTTTATACTCTAACCTATTCAATGTGAATGCATGTTGGCAGGAACCGAAGCATCCCAATGCAATTGTAATTTCCACAACTCTTGAATCATTAACTTGGCCAGAAGAACGACTGGGCTGATCAATCCTAACGGATCAAACAATCGAGATATCTCAGATAACATATTCCTCTTCGTTATTTCCGAGTGCATGCTCTTTGCATCGAATGTATATCGAAAAGAATCATCATATGGATTCCATTGTAAACCGAGTATCCGAGTTTCATTATTTTCACTTATAGGAACACAATCCTACTCCTTGTTATAAGAAATTCCTTCTAAAATTTCAGTACAGTTGGAAAACCATTTGTTTAGCGTAAAACAACCCTTCGACATGATTTCAATGATTTGATTACGTTTGGCTTTTGCATCGGCCAATGAATGTGCGACTGTTAGCAAATCGTCAATATAAACATCATTGATTATAGCCCGTGAACCTTCAGGAAAATCTTTTTGATGCAGTCCTGCCAAATATTTTAAACATCTAGTTGCTAGATATGATGCAGAGGCAGAGCCATATGTTACAGTTGTTAACTGATAAGTAGATACAGGATCACTAACATTTTCTCGCCATAAAATGGATTGCAACGAGATTTGTGCCGGATCCACGAGTATCTACCTATACATTTTTACTATGTCAGCAGTAAAAACATATTTGAATGAGTGAAATCTTGCTAATAACATAAATAAGTCTGATTGAACTACCGGACCTACCATCAAAATATCATTTAAAGATACCCCAGTATCTGATTTGCAGGATCCATCAAAAACTACTCTTAACTTGGTGTTTGTGCCGGATGCCTTGAATACATAATGGTGTAGTAAATAAAATGATATTTTATTTTTATGAATAGAGTCGTCTGATAACCGCATATGTCCTAAATTGTAATACTCTTGCATGAACGACGTATACTCAATTCTTAATTGCTTATTATGTTTAAAATATCTTTCTAAATTATGAAATCTTTATAGAGCTATGTTTTTGGATTCACCGAGCTGTGGTGACTGTGCGGTCTTGATTGGCAATGTCACAATAAATCTTCCTTCGCTATTTTGTTTAATAGTTCGCAAAAAATGTTCCTCGCACTCATGGTCACTCGGTGACCAAACGTTTTGACTTGAAATATTGTGTTCAAAATCCCAGAATTTAGTTATTGACTGTTCAAGATCACTATTTGATATATCAGGGATTACCGAGCAAGTATTTACCAATGTCATGGCACTACTTTTTAAATATCTGTTATTGATGGAGCCTGCCAATATCCAACCGAAAAGGGTTTTTTGTATAGTTGGGTTATTGACAGACGATTTTATTTGACCTATGCACAAGACCCGCCAGAATACATCAGCCCCAAGCAACAATTGAACCGTTGAAGGCACATTAAACTGAGGATCGGCAAGTATAATGTTTTTTGGTATGTTCATGCTTGTTTGTTTAAATGCATCATAGGAACTGACTCGGTAATTTTTTCCGTTACTATACATTCAATAGTTAATTGGAAATTGTTTATGCGAGACTGAATTTTAATAGTGACTATGTCCTTTACTCACCATTTGGTTTATTCCAACTATAGATATGTTTTGCTGCCTAGTTGTCAAACTTAATTGAGATAGAAATTCACGTGTAATCAAATTTGCTTGGGAGCCGTTGTCCAATAATGCTCTGCAAGGAGTCTTATTTCCTGCTGATAGTATAACATAGTTTCCTTTAACGCTGCTCACATTATGAGTAACCATGGTGTGTAAAGTGGCAGTTTCTAAAGAAGTGGCTTGTTGTTGAACATCTGTCGCATTCTTTGAACTGCCCTGCTTATCTATGTACAAAAGCGTGTTGTGCTTCAAACTACAAGTCTTGCATGTACCGGATGTGCGCAGCTGTATGAATCTTAGATCGGAGACAATTTATAAATTGCGCCTTTCTTCTAATCTGCGGAAGTTAGGTAACTTTAAGAAAGATTGACAAAAATAAATGAAATGATTCTTATCGCAAAAATTACATTTTGAAGTTACTGATGCAGCACAATTTATAATTGATTTACGAACGGATGATTGATTGCCCTTATTGTTTGATGTGGATGCACTCTTTTTATTAATAATTGACTCAAGCGTGTTACATTTTTTTAATAAAAATTCTACGAATTGATCGATTGTGGGTAGTTGATCTGAATCTAAAATACCTTCCCAGTCGCGAAAAGTCTTATGCGGGGTCTACAATAGAAGTCGTAGCGGTCGTAGAGTCTTAAGTCATAGAAAATTGACCAATCACAGTTGATTATTCTTCTCATATTCGACTGTGATTGGTCAATTTTCTACGACTTAAGACTTTACGACTGCTACGACTTCTAGTGTAGACCCCGCATTAGAATCAAGCTTGTTTCCCAAAATTTGAATAACGATATCATCCCATTGATCGACTGGGCGATTTTAGTGCATTTACATGCTTAAGGGGATACTAAACTGATTACCGAACTTGATCGAGGTCGATAGTGCAGACTTTTTTAATTCCAAATTCGATAATAGTGACATCTTTGATTCATTTCTTACATTATATAATATTATACATACTAGGTGTACAAATAAGTTTCCGGGTTTCACACATGGATGGCGCCAACGACACATGTAGTCGACATACATGTCTGAAGTTGTTTATTTTTTGTGGCTGCAACATCTGACGACAATAATCAATCAAAATATTTCCAGTTTCGCGACGAAAAAAAATTTTTATGCAACAGTGAAAATGTCGAGTTTTAGGAAAGAAAACAATGCTCTGCGTTTGGTGGGACCAGAAAGGAGTGGTTTACTATGAGCTGTTGAAACTAGGCGAAATTGTCAACGGAGAACGCTACCGACAACAACTAATCAATTTAAGCCATGCATTGCTCGAGAACCGGCCAAAATGGGACACAAGACATGAGCGAGTGATTTTGCAGCAGGATAATGCACCGTGCCATCGCACTTCCATCATCAAGGACACCATCAAAACGCTGAAATGGGATCTGTTACCACACCCGCCGTATTCACCAGATCTGACTCCTTCTGATTATCACTTGTTCCGGTCGATGGCGCATGACTTGGCTGGACTACACTTGGCCAGTTTCGAAGAAGTGCGAAATCGGATAGATAAATGGTTTCGGACCAAAAACGAGTCGTTCTATCGTCGCGGTATTCATGCATTGCAAGAGAGATGGCGAAAATGTATAGCTAGCGAGGGACGATACTTTGAATAAACCGTTTTTTGTTTTTTTCTTGAAATTTTGCATTTTTCATTGATCAAAAAAACCCGGAAACTTATTTGTACACCTAGTATATCGTTCTATCTCGCTTAAACGCATACATCTGTTCTTATATAACATATGCCAGCATCATCTATCGCAAGACCGCGCAACTATTAATACACGGAATTTCGGCTCTGTTGACCCAGTCTTCGCAAAGCATCCGTATACACGTATTTTCCATTCGGTGAAAAAGCTTTTCTTCTAGACTTTCAATCTTAGTTCTACAAACT